GAGTTTGTGGTGTTGGGTTAGCTGCCGCTTGGGACCAATTAAGGCAAATTGAGACCGACCTGTGCAGAACCGAATCCTTACTACTACTTCCACTGCCTACCTACATTATATTTTTTTTTCTTTACTTTTTCGTATATATTACATGTATTTAGTGATAGTGATTTGTGTAAATGGTTATTGTCGCGGATGAATTTTGGTTAAGGTTAGAGCTGTGCTTGATTTGTAAGAGAGAAATGTACTTTCTGTTCGGTAAGAACATCTCATAGTAGTAGTATTGTGACTGAATGAATGCAATGGAAAACACTAATTCTGGAAATTGCTTGCAAAGGAAACACAGGATCATTATATTTACATCCTCTTAAAAGAATTAGAAACTATGATAGTTTTAAGAATAGGATATTTGGTGGCGATTGAATTTAAGGCTACACTTTTTTGTCTTTCTCAGATTCGCTTTTCAAATTGAAATTGAAGTTGGAAATGCCATTTTTATTGGTGATTCGGCAGGATTTACAATCCTAATCCAAAATATTCAAAGTTGTCTGTTTCGATGTCCAATTGTGTTGTCTTCTCTCTTCTCCTTGTCCGAGTCACGGGGGAGGGTGTCTGCAAAAGACACTCCGACGCTCTAGTCAGTGACTTTGCGTGATAATCTTGTAAAAAGATTTAGCTATTAGAACTCTGAGTTTCAGTTCCAGTTCAAGTTACCTTTTCCTTTACCAGAAATATATTTATAAATTATAATGAGCTTACTGTTAGGTCTGCCTCATTAACCACCAATGAATGACAATATTAATTGTCAATAAATGACACTTATTTTCATTAATATCCCGACAGTTATTACTATTGATTACCTTAACGGCTCTTTTAATCGATCGGTTCATTGATATGAGAGACATCATCGGTTGGCCGACTCTTCTGCACTTTTACCGTTCGGTTGGTTATAAGCCGATAGTAGCAGTTGGCATTCCAGAAGGTATTACAGTCCGGTCTTAATAATCATTACCAATTCAATCACATACATTGTTAAGTGATTCCAGTATTGATTTAGAATGAATAGCTTAGCACGATTAATACGTACGCATGACACAGTATTGACGTTTTTGTGTAGGGCTGGTCTCCTAAAGAAGGCTCAGTCAGTATTTTGAAAATAAGTGGTCACCATGTAGCACGTTGAAATTGAGTATGCTGTTATACCAAGACAATACTAATAATAATAATAATAATAATAATCAATGCTTGAAATTGACGAAAAGATTTTTCATGCAGGACCACTACTTGGCACGGAAAAACCAGTACAAAAAATAACAATATTTGTAGTTGAAATTTATTCAAGTTATTTTGGTGTTAAAAAAACAATTTTCATATTTTTAGTAAAAAGTACAAGTTGTGATGTTTATCACTGGATTTAATTTGAAACATACATGTAATTAAATTCTATAATTCAAAATCATTTGTAGTAAAATTATTTTAATTTAGCTTAAACAAATAAAGCCTTTTGGCAGGGTTGAATGCATTTAAGGTACATGGTGGGGCGAAAAATAAGAGTGGAATTGCCAAAGGAGTTTTTGTGGTGGGTGGTAGAGTCTATTAATGTTGAAGGGGACTTTATAGGTGTATTTGTAGAAACATATCTTACAATTTAGCTATGAAAATATTTATATTAGAATAAATAGGTGACATTTTTAGTAGTTCAACATCTTCCACCCTCTTCTTATTTAGTTCAACTATTAACTTCTAATTACGTTATGATTTTTATAGATAATATGCATCTCTATATAAATGCTGGTGTATTTTCCAAAAAAAAAACACAAATAAAGAAGAGTGTGTTGGTTTGATTGATATGAAAATGAAAGAAATCATGTAAAAGAAAGAAGAAAAAGACCCAAATAGTATTCACAACAAAAGAGAAAGACGCCAAAAACATAATATTCTTTATATAATTATATTGCAAAATAGTTGTCAAACAATTCACTGGAAAATGAGGACCATAATTTATTATAGCATTACCACAATCGATTACGGTTATTATTTTAATAATAGTAATAAACACTGTTATTTTTATTTATTTGAGTATAAAATAATTTCCATTTTCTTCGCTATCTATTTCTTTCGATCAAATGACTTTTATCTTTACTCATATTTAGCTCTTTTTCTGTCTGTTTTCCTCTATTACTAGGATAAGTCCATTCGTATTATTCTTTTTCTCCTATGTATCAAGAATTGATATTTTATAATGTATTTTCATAATGGGCTTTTTAGTAAGGTGGCCCAACTTTAAGGATAAGACATACATTAAGTTACATTGAATAAATAATCTAATTGAATAGTTTTTGTTATACAACAAACTATCAATTACTTTGGTTAAATGTTGTAAGCTTGATTATCTATAATTTCTATATATAATTAAGATAATTTCATACAGGCTTCAAATCTATAACAAGTATTTGATCGGGAAAAAAAAGCCTGCAACTCTGTATTTTATATAATTGATAAATTGATTTTTTCTTCTCTTCCTGATATTGAATTTTTGGTTTCCCATTCCCATGACCCACGTCACTATGTCGGCCCATATTGAACTTTCTATCTTAATTTCTTTAAATATTGATTATGGTTGTGTAAAAGATTATGGATATTGGATTGGACTATATTTAGGTCGAACTTTTATTATGATGAAGTGCTTTTTTAAACAATATAAACACGTGTTCCAATACTTCTCGATGTGTATTTTAGAAGCAAAAACAAAAATTCAACATAGTTTTTTCATAAATTAAAAACTACTCTACATATAAATTAATATGTAAAAAAACTATCTTCTTTGGACTTTCTCTAAATTAAGTCTTGTAATTTATGCAGACATTAAATTATTTAATTTTAGTTCAGATATGAATGACAGTTTAGGGTTTAGGTCGAGTGAGTGTATGAGAAATGTTGGTTACTGGTATTTAGACAAAGAGTTCTTTTAGAGAAAAGTTTTTTTTTTTTTTGGATTAAATTTAAATAAGCAGGACAGTGTAACAATGAAATGAGGGAGTGTATTAAGAAATTGTCATATCATATTTTTGTTAAAGTTAACCCAGCTCAGGAATCACCCTTGGGGCTGGCAAAGAAAATATCATGTATTTCCTTTTGTAAGGGCTTTTTATTTTCTGCACTCCCGTAAATATTAAATCCACGCTGATAATTTTCTGAAAGATGATTTTAGCTTATATGCTATTTTTTAATGACGATTTTCGAATTCTTTGTTATGGAAATATTCAAAGTCAAGGTTTTTGCATTATTATCTTCATAACCAGATTTTTTAAACAAACATTCTAAATAAAGAATTTTATAATAAACTTTCGAAAACAAATTGAGACGTTTTTCGAGACACCTTTTGAAACAAACTTTCTTGAACAAGATTTTCAAAATATATTTTTTTTCAAAACAATATTTTTGAATAAACTTTTTGAAATTTATGAGAAGTTTTTTTATGACAAACTTTTCTTAATAGGTTGCTGAAACTCTATGAAATTAACAATATGAAAATATTACATAATGATGAATATAAAACTTTTCTAAATTAGAAGGGTTTTGGGTATAGGGTTGAAGTCCTTACTCACTCCAAGTTGTTTTGTAAGGCGGATAGGCTTCTTAGGAGTCCTCCATTATCCAAGTTACGCTGTTCGTTCTCCCTCCTTCTTGTTCAATCCTTGTGGGTGGTATCTGTCAAAGATATTCCGATGCTCAAGTTAGTAATGTAACAAAACGGTTGACACAACAAGTGATACATATATTGTGCATCGTGATTCTAAAGTCACACCTGAAACCTTTATTTATAACAAACCTTTACCTTTCGCTGGCCTAATAACAGTCCAAACACACCTTAATCTGCATTAAGGGCTTAATGAATCATTACAACTGAGAATAACCTGAGAGGATGACATGATTGGGCGGACTTGGAAGGACGACTTAGGAGGATGACTTAGGAGGACGACTTAGTTTAACGAACTTAGAATGATGGCCTGGTGCGGCCTGGGAAAATGACTTGGGAAGACGGTCTGGTTGGATGACCTGAGTGATGCTTGGTACCATGACAAACGGTACACACCGGTATTGTGGACTGTACGGTACAAGAAGATTTAGAAGAAAAAAAAGAAAAACAAGTGCAACAAGGAAAGGTATTTCAATATCTTTGTTATTAACATAAAAATGCAAGTATTTGGGGTGCAGAAAGAAGTATCCTTTCTAAATTTTTAAAAAACCCAATGGAATATAATCGCGTCATTTTGTTTATTTTATTATCTGTTTTTTTTTATAAGCAATATTTTAGTATCTGTTAATAGCAGTCCTATGTGGATATGATACCTTTTTTATGACATGATTAATTTTTAGTATACCTTTCTTTTTTTAATGATGTAGCAGTGATGACATTATCAATGTTATAGTGTCAAGGTAGATAAAATAAACTAATAGTATAGGCAAATAAAAAATAACAATAAAACACAATTTATATTATTAGGATTAAAAATGTTTAGTTAATCAATTTTATCAATAAACCCTTACGCAAAATAGTTTGGAATATAAGACTCGTTTCTCTTATTAAGTAATATTAAAAAAAACTGCACTTTTTTGTCTCTAGGTTCAAAAGTTATTATTATTATTATTATTATTATTATTATTATTATTATTTATCTAAAAATCTTAAGGAATTGATAAAGTGATTACTGAAGTAGATGAGTCAACATTTAAGTTAACATGAAGTTTCTTAAAATAATTAAGTTCTTCCGATGAATTAGTTCGAAAAATCTGTAAAATGATTTAAATTAAACAAAAGAGTTCTGATATAAGTTGATTTTTGGTTTGGTGCATTTATTCTGTGACCTAAATAGAGCTTAGGCCAAGATCTTGTAACTAATTTTACAACATTTATATAGATATAAAAGGTGTTGGATATTTTTCCAACATTTATATATATAAAAATATTAATGGTATGTTTTAATTTGAAAAATACAATTTTTAAAAGCATAAACACTAAAACCAGATTCCATGTAAAGTTGGAAAGTTGTCGCTAGAACAAGCCGAAGAAGCAAAGAAGCAAAGGTAGGAATTGATCAGAGCAGAACAGAGGAAGAGTGCGAAGAGAAGGATCATCATTGTGAATGGCAGAGGGGAGCGGTGACAGAACTCTGCCGAGAATCGCAGAGGCATTCAAGGACCTCGCAAGCGTCGTCACCGATTCGCAGAACGCGGAGGTGAAGGTTGCTCCCTTCTCCCATGCCTGCTCTCTCGTTTCCCCTCTCTTTGGTTGCTTGGGTGTTGCCTTCAAGTTCGCCGAGATGGATTACGTTGCCAAGGTATTCGATTCCCTCACTCGGGATCCTTCAATTAAACCATTTTATTATTTATTTTTTACTTGATGCTGTTTGTTATGGCAGTTTCTGGTTTGGATTGTGGTTGATTGTTTGATGTGGTGATGGTAGTAGGTTCATGATCTGGCAGAGGCGTCGAAGTCTATTCAGAGCTTACAGTCTCTGATTGATCTGGATGTCCGAGGTGGCACTGTCAGGAAGGGAGGTAGCCACACGCGGAATCTGTTGAGAGTGAAGCGCGGACTTGACATGGTTAGAGTACTCTTTGAGCAGATTCTAGTTACCGAGTATGTGCTTTACTCACTTGTTTACTAATTGCTTAATTTCTTCTATTTGAACTGTGCGACATTGTGTTTTAAACAATTTTATTGAGACACCAAACAGCATGGTTGGAAATTGTCACCGTTGATGTTATCGAAAATTGTGGTTGCAATTTTGGTTGCGACTTTGTAGCTGAGACCTCCGAAACCTTGGATGTTTCAATCGCAATTTCTGCTGTGATGTGGTGCCGAGACCTCCAAAACCTTGATGTTACCATAACAATTGCTGCTGTGGACTGTTTTTATAACCTTGCCAGAAAGTGGAAATGGAGTGCAGTGAAAATGAAGGGATGGATTCTGCTTTTTATCCATGGGAAAGAGGAGAGTGGCGATAGAGATATTCCACCTTTGCTTTGTATGGATGAAGCTGTGAGGAATAAGAGTTCTCATTTTAAGACACTAAGGAGTGAGGTTTTGAATTGTGGTTGTGGTGTAGTCGCGATGCTTGATATTGGAAATTTTTTCTGATAAATAGACTATAACTGCTGTTGCAATAAGGTCAAAGAGACCTCAAAACCTTGTTGTTGCAACTGTGATTGTGGTTGCGGGCTGCTATCTCAAACCTAGCCAAAGGAGTGTAAATATAGTGCAATGAAAATAAAGGAATAACTTCCATTACTCATCCACGAGATTTGGAAAAGGGATGATTGATGTCTTTGTATGAGTGAAACAATAGGAATAAATAATTCCACGTTGCTATGTTGCTATCCGTTGAATAATTTTAAGACAACTAGGTTTCAGTTGTGGTCGTAGCTTGGTCACATCCTAGTTTTTGCCGAAACGGGATTGCAGTTGTAATATGGTCAAGGAGACACAAAAACCTTGATTCTTGACCGTTTCTAAAACCTTGCCAAAGAGTAGAAATAGAGTGCAATGAAACTGAAAGTTAAGCTACTTTCATCCATTAGAAAAAAAGGAGAGTAATGATTGAGGTTTTTCCCTTTTGCTTTGTAGACTTAAGGCATGAGGAATAAAAATTCCATATTTACCACTTATTTTCAATTGTCGATTTAGTTTGTGTTTTTGAACAGTTGAATAAGGGAGAAAGGTAGGTGGCCTGCCTAGCTGTGTGTCCAGTCTTCAACTTTGTCACACCTGATCTTATTGGCTTGGTTGGTGGTGCCGAGCATATGTGCTTTTCCTTTAAAAGAATCTAGTTAAGTGTTGAACTATATGTTCATTTGTGGTTCTTCTTCATACCTTGTCCTTTCCTATGTTCATTCCATAAAAAATACGAGCAATCAGTTAAAGCTGGTAACTGATTTAATTCTCTTACCTGCTGTGTTTCCTTTGTAACTAACCACTAGTGACCGGTAAGCACACTCTAGTACTCCCATCAGCAACCAACTGGTTCAGGTTCAGTCTCCAGATCAGTTTCATGAAACAGAAAAATAATAATTGATTAAATTAAGAATATTTTCCATTCTTTTTGCTTATCTCCACATCCTTGTTGTGCGGAGGTGGGTTGCATTATTGATAAATATTAGCAAAAGTTTGTTTCCTACGTTAAGTCAGCAAATACATCTGTGTAAGAAAATTTGATAGTAAATGAGCTGAGTTACTGCATGTCTTTTTGGCAGGGGTAATTCCCTTAAGGATCCAGCTTCCAAAGCTTATGATCAGGTGTTTGCACCCCACCATGGTTGGGCAATCAGGAAGGCTGTTGCTGCTGGAATGTATGTCCTTCCTACAAAAGAACAACTTTTGAAGAAGCTCAATGAAGATGGTAAGTAGAGGATTTGGCTTGCTGGCCTTTTTATTGGAATTTAAACCCTGAATTTTTATTTTTTTTGAAGTGTAGTTGTTTTTAGAACTTGAGCAGGGGAGGCAGGCAGTATGAGATATCATTTTTGTGAAATCTACGCATGACGAATCAGGAATGGTTAATCATTTTACCCTGCCTATCCTAAGTTAGCGGTTTCATCTCTTGTTTAACCTTGAAGTTTCTGGTGGTCTACCAGCCACATTTAATGATATATATTTTCCTCTTTAAGATCCAGTGTTGCTTTGTAGCCACAAGTCTATGAATGAGTTTAGATTTCAGTTCTGGAGCATTCAAACCAACTTTCAGTTTTTATTGAATACTGTGCCAACATGTTTGGTATTTTTCAGATCTAGTTAGAGGAAAAGTTTCACCACAACCTCATGTATAAAAACTGCAATGAATTGGTTAACTCAAATGAATTTTCTAACTGAAATCCAAACATATACTATGTCCTTAACCGTTTGTAGAAACATAAAAGATTAAAACGTACATGATTTGTTTCATCATATCGTTTCTTGTGGTTATTCTTTTTACCGTTCTTTCTCAAAGGTAAATCAAACCAGTGTACAAGAATAGGAAAAGGGGAGGTCATCGTCAGATAGTACATTATTCGAACTTGTCTAGTTAGTAATTTGAAGTTGACGTGATTATGATGTTCACTTTTCTTTTGTATTTTTTGTTGGAATCTTTGCTTCAGAAGCGTCAGCAAAAGTTCACATGCAAAGCTATGTCACTGCATCAGCACCTCTAATCCAATACATCGACAAACTCTTTGTTTCCAGAGACTTGGGAATAGATTGGTGAATCTTGGATTGTATTTGAGATTGTACAATATGATTTACTGTTAATTATATGGCATAATTCTTGTATTTATGATTACCGAGTATTCATTTGTTATAGAATTTGTTTATATTGCAATAGATATTACAGGCTATTGAGATGGTACCTGATATTGTCTCTGAAAGGTAACGGTGGCTTAAGAGTAAGCTTTTCCTTCAGCTTTGGAGGATTACTTTGTGAATTTTATCATTCCACTTATTTTTTCTTTTGGCGCAGTCTTTGAATCTTTTAATGTTTTTAATTTACTTCAGTTTATTTAGTATATTATAGTATCAGATTTAAATACCAAGTGTTTATATTGTGCCCAATCCTATATAGTTCCTGAAACATCATGAAAGACAATTTCGGGCTACTGTAACAATTTGGTGCATTCTATGTGGGAATTGATAATGCCATTTTCCTTAATTAACGTAAAATAGAAATGCTAATGTTATTTTGTCAAAAAAATGGAGTCGTTCCGGATCGGGCCTCCTGATGTATGTAGACTATGTCTTTGTTTTATTTTTGAGGTGTTCAAATTTAGTTTAGAGAGTAAATTCAAATTGGATTGTCTTTAAAATATGTCAGTATACTAAAGTTGTATAGAAACTCAGTTTTATAGAGACAAAACTTTATTTGTTTTTGTAAACAGAGTTTTGTATCTTAAATTTAAACCAAGCTTTACTTTGCTAATCTTATTAATACCACGCTTAAAGATACTAAAGCTCAGTTTATCCATTCTCAAGTTTAACAACTTATAATTTTATAATTTATACTTTTACAATTTTGAGATTATCATATGATTATTATTTCGGTTAATTTTAATACACCTAATATAGTGTTTAATTTATAACTAATAATTAGCCTCGGAAAAACAAGTTAGAATAATTGATATGTAATTATGTTAGATTACACTCATTTAAGTGTATTCTTTATTATCCACAGAAATTCTACTATGTTCTTTTTAAATATTTTTACAAATAATTAAAATTAAGTTTAAATAGAATTTTGGTTCTTCTGTTTTTTTTGTTCTGAAATTTCGATTATTATCTTAAGATAGAGATATTAACTGCAATTATTTTAGAAAATATGCAATTTCGGTAAAACATTTAATTGCTAATATGTTTTATATGTTTTTTTATTCTTGAATATCTAACATATTTATGTTTTATTTATTTTATTTTCTTGAATTGAATCTAGATCAAAAATATTTATTAAAATATTATAAAATCTATTTAATTAATTCTAAAGGTAGGAAATAACAAATTAAAAATTAAATAAGATTTTTGAAATTAAGTTATCAAAATGTTTTTATTTTAAAACGAGTGATAAAATAAAGTATCGATTCGGCAAAGAATATAATTTATAAACTATATTTAAGAACATGAATTTTTTCTACTGTTTTAAAGGAGTTCGTTGAATAAATTAAAATCATAATTTTAGTAATTAAACATAAAACTAAAGAAAAAAGATGGTACCCAAGAAAAACCTAAAAACAAAAGAAGCAAAAACCCAATTGAGCCTTCCAAAATCAAGAACAAGAAAGCTGAGTTTTTTGGTTTCAGCCTCTACTGTTTCTTCCACCACAGTGACCTACTCTTCCTTCGTCTCGAATGCATCATATTCACACGCCCCTTTCAAATCCCTAATCCGCTTCAAATCCACTCTTCAATGCCAATGGAGGATTCCGAGGGAGTCCTCAGCTTCGATTTCGAGGGTGGCCTCGACACCGCTCCCTCCGCCGCCGCCGCTCCCTCTGGTCCACTCGTCCAACATGACTCCTCCGCTGCCGCTTCCGCCGTTTCCAATGGAGGCCCTCCCGCCCCGGCCCCCTCCGCAGCCGACCCCGCATCCGTCAACGTTCCCGGCCGACGGAGCTTCCGGCAGACGGTATGCCGGCACTGGCTGCGCAGCCTGTGCATGAAGGGCGACGCGTGCGGGTTTCTGCACCAGTACGACAAGGCGCGGATGCCTGTTTGTCGATTCTTCAGGCTCTATGGAGAGTGTCGGGAACAGGATTGCGTGTATAAACACACGAATGAAGACATCAAGGAGTGTAACATGTAAGTGTTTGAGTATATGTATGTATTGTTCGTTCTTATTTAGGTTGTGATGACTGTTATTCAAATTTTCCGTTTTTTGTTTTTTTGAGTTTTGCTTGTGTTAATATTTTCATATTATGTGTGAGTTGTTTCTGGTTGGGTTGTGAGTTATGGTGTAAAGGATCTGTGCTCCCAAGTGGTTTGGTTTAAGAAAATCTTATGTACGTACTACCAAGTTGCCTGATATATAACCGGGGACGTTTCATTCGTGTTACTTACCCCACTTTCATTTTTTGTCCAAGAAATGTTTTTCCTTTTATGTTTGTTGAGTTCAATTGTTTATTACTTTAATTTCTTTGCGTAAGATAAGATTGTAAATGCTTCTAATTTTAAAACTTTGCATCTGTAGGTACAAGTTGGGATTTTGTCCTAATGGGCCTGATTGCCGATATAGGCATGCAAAATCTCCTGGACCTCCACCTCCTGTTGAAGAGGTCCTTCAGAAGATCCAACATTTATATTCCTACAATTATAATTCATCTAACAAATTTTTCCAACAAAGGGGTTCCAGCTATGCCCAACAAGCTGAAAAATCCCAACTTCCTCAAGGAACAAACTCTACAAATCAAGTGGTGACTGGAAAACCATTGCCAGCAGAGTCAGGAAATGCCCAGCCACAGCAACAAGTTCAACAGTCTCAGCAGCAGGTCAGCCAGAGCCAAATGCAAAATGTTGCTAATGGCCAGCCTAATCAAGCCAGTAGATCTGCTACCCCTTTACCTCAAGGAATATCTAGGTGTGTTCAGGGTCTTGTAGTTTTCAGTCCACCTATGTAAAATATTTTGAGTATGCTTACTGTTACATAAATACTATAAGCAAGGTACATTTTTAAGTGTTTTTTTTTTCGGTTTGGGGGATTATACCATTATTTGCATTCTGTAGCTAGTTTTTCTTAAATTTACTGCCATTTACTTGGCAGTCAACACATACATTTCACGCTGTACAATATTGGCTGGTTACACTTAATGCATATACGTTTTAGTTTATTTCTTTTATTTTCTACTTTCTTTTGCCACTATTGATTTTAAAGTGGTTAAACTTAATTGTAAACTGTACAAAGTCCTCTTTCTAGTTTTTTGTCCTTCTTGGAAATATAATAATCAAACAGGATAAGCGTCAAGTTCTTCACTATTGAATGTTAAAACTGGTCAGGGGATATTTTTTTTATTGCCTGAAAAAACAATGATATGCAAGGTATACATTAGAGTAATTAATGCCTGTTTTAAGAAGGAGGAGAGAAAAATGGACACAGATGGAAATACAGCGAAAGAAAGGAGAAATTGTCTGGGAAAGAGGGTAATGGCAAACAAATTGGACAACTGGCAACAGGAATTGGAGAAGCGCAGGAGTAAAAATGGTGGGGAAAATCATAAAGAGGATAGGCTGGAAAGTGAGGGTGGCATTGGATGATTTTGGGGTTAATGGCCTTGGACAGAATGAGGAGTGTTCTCTTGTATTCTTAATTTTTTTTACACTAGTTTTTTCTTTTGCTCTACACTCAGAAGATAAAGTACGAGGCATAACTAAATTTGTGTATTTGCTGAGAGGGCTGGAAAAGACAAATAAGTTGGGGTTAGTAGAGGAGAGGCAGAAGTGTTCCTAATTAAACTGTGCCTAGAAGCCTTTAGCCATGGCAGCAAGGTAAAATACCAGAAGGGAAAGGTTAGATAAAAGAGACTTGTTGCCAGTAATCTAATGAGTAGCCCTAGAGTCAAGGGCCCAAGAACCAATAGATGGGGAATAAGAGAGACCAAAAAAGAGTTATTAGTTTGTACAACAAAATTAATGGGGAATTGAAGGCCTGACAAACCTCATATCACTAGAGGTAGTCGGTGTGAATGGTTGGTGGTGGTTGATGAGTGTTGCAATGTCCCCTTAATTGTGGAACCTTGGCTTGCCTTAATTTGCAGCCTTATGCATCCTCATTTTGATAGGTGAAAGGCTGAATGTGTCTCATATTGGTTAGAGACAAGGCTCAGTGTTTTCAAAAAATGACCATGGTGGATTTTGGTGGTGGAATTTCCTTCAGCCACCAAAACATGACAGCGGTGAATCAGGTTTTTCATGATGGCTCATAACAACTATGTTGGGCATCACAGAGTGTTAGTTTGGAGTGACCATGAAAGAATTGTGGTCATAGAACTCCAAACTTGGAAAAGCTAGCAATCAAGATTTTAAGCTTGGTATCTAGCTCATTGGGAGGTGAGTGCAAGTTTTAGTTTGAGCAAGTAATAATTGTTGTTCATGATGTGAATAACTTATTCATTTATTTTGTACAAAGTAGGAAGAAATTAATTAACATATAACTTATTCATAATGCAAATTCATTCAAAAAAGAGGAATGGACTTGACCACAAAAAGGTTGCATGATTTGGTTTGCTTAAAGTATAGCCAACAACTAGCTCAAAGATACAATGTTGGGGATGGCATGGACCCTATACTATGGAATGACATTGGTAAGTGCAATGAGTGGTTAGTCGGACAAGTGGATGGGATGATGATAATGTTAATGAAGATGGGGAAATGAGTAGGCTTTTTATGATGATCCCACTCTTAATTGACCAACTATTTCTGAAGCTTCAGTTAGTCAGATAACCAAGAATTTATAGGAGAAATGCAAACAGTAAAAGAAAGCAACCACTAAGTGGTAGTATTGTTATTGGATCTTCCCTAGCTTCTAAGAAAAGTCTTGGTGAACTCCAGCCCCAAAAGGAGGGAGGGGCAAAGAGAAGATTCAATATGAGAACGAAATGCAATTTGATACCTTTGATTTTGGGTTTGAATATTTACTTAACTTTGACAAAAGCTTTTCTGAAGGAGAAGAGGAGGGGTATGCCCCTTTGGTATTGATGCCTATCTTAGATCCATTGTTGAGCCACCTTCATTGCCAGACTGTAAGATGGTAGCTTAGAGTGTGGTGGGGAGTGTTGGAATGTTGGCTAGTTGCAATTACCCTAAGTTGCCTTAAATGTGATTTCTACTAGGCCATCTTAGTTGCAACATCATTGAGGGCTTCTGTAATTG